GAGTGGAAAAGTGTCATTTGCAAAGAGTGTAAATGTATTTAGAAATGGATGTGGAGTGTAATAGGTTGGATGAGGGTCAGCTTCTGCAACCAGCTGACATGATCTCCCTAGAAGAGAGTTCAGCTTGGATCGCAGGCATCGAGAGTTTAGGCAAAGTTCATGGATGGTGATCGAGTTTTTACTGTGATCTTGTTGGAGAATTGGGTTGAAGACACAGAGATTGCATTGTGTGAGGCAATTGAAGTAGAAGGTTGAGAAGTTGTAGCTGGAGAAGTTGTTGTTGTTGGAGAAGTTGATGTAGCTGGAGAAGTTGTTGTTGGAGAAGTTGTTGTTGATGTAGCTGGAAAAGTTGTTGTTGATGTAGCTGGAAAAGTTGTTGATGTAGCTGGAGAAGTTGTTGATGTAGCTGGAGAAGTTGTTGATGATGTAGCTGGAGAAGTTGTTGTTGTTGTTGGAGAAGTTGATGTAGCTGGAGAAGTTGTTGTTGTTGTTGTTGGAGAAGTTGTTGTTGTTGTTGTTGGAGAAGTTGTTGTTGTTGTTGTTGGAGAAGTTGATGTTGTTGTTGTTGGAGAAGTTGATGTAGCTGGAGAAGTTGTTGTTGTTGTTGTTGGAGAAGTTGATGTAGCTGGAGAAGTTGTTGTTGTTGTTGGAGAAGTTGATGTAGCTGGAGAAGTTGATGTAGCTGGAGAAGTTGATGTAGCTGGAGAAGTTGTTGTTGTTGTTGTTGGAGAAGTTGTTGTTGTTGTTGTTGGAGAAGTTGATGTAGCTGGAGAAGTTGTTGTTGTTGTTGTTGGAGAAGTTGATGTAGCTGGAGAAGTTGTTGTTGTTGTTGGAGAAGTTGATGTAGCTGGAGAAGTTGTTGTTGTTGTTGGAGAAGTTGATGTAGCTGGAGAAGTTGTTGTTGATGTAGCTGGAGAAGTTATTGTTGTTGTTGCTGGAGAAGTTGATGTAGCTGGAGAAGTTGATGTAGCTGGAGAAGTTGATGTAGATGTAGCAGTAGCAGTAGCAGTAGCAGTAGCAGTAGCAGTAGCAGTAGCAGTAGCAGTAGCAGTAGCAGTAGCAGTAGCAGTAGCAGTAGCAGTAGCATTTGATGCAGAGCAGTGTATTCTTCAAATCGAAGATGACTGTAGTGAGAAAACCCTGGCTCTTTATAGTGGTTAGGAATGGCCTGATTGGTGGATCAAGCATGCTAATGCAGGACCAGCCGTGTTCAATCATAATCACGTGCTCCTCTCGAAATTAGTTTATGAATAAACTTCACTTATATTGACGTCAGATAATGACATTTATTCGTCAGGTTCAATATGGCAACCATTATCCAACATCTGATAGACGTCATAGTGGTTACGTCCACACAATGTCAACCTGTAACCTCATTAGACATTGATATTTGGTTGATTTTTGGTTTGCATTAATGTTGGCCTGACGTTGGGTTCTGATGTCAACCCGATTTTCATTTTCAACCAAAGTACAATGTCCCCACGACATCAAATACAATGTCAATCTGATGTCATGTTGACATCCTATGCCTGCTGGGTGTTAAAGGCCATTTCGGTCATCATACAGTAAGCATCTGTCATCTTCTCATAAGTGACATGCATCTAAACAGTCTCTGGGTCAATGTGTGTAAGGATTTTGGACACTTTTTGTGCTTCCCAATTTATTCCGAATGCATTTATAAAGTGCCTATGTCTTGAGGTAGTTCATTTTGATGCGATTTCCCTTCTATGTGCGATTTGATTGGACAGGAATCACAGGACTGATTTTTCCTAATCCCCATTGACAAGAAAAAATCAAGTAGTGGAGTAAAAGTACTGATAGAGCTCTAAAAATATACTCAAGGTAAAGTAAAAGCACACATTTTTAAAACTACTTAGTAAATTACAATTCTTGAGAAAAATTACTCTTACAGTAGTTTGAGTATTTGTGATTTGCTACTTTACACCACTGATGATGTTAGATTCTGTATGCTTCGGTCTTGAGCTTTGAGTCATAATGGACAATAAACTAAGCACTTCTTAATGGAATATTCTATATTGACATAAAAGCACTTTAACGATATAATTTGCTAGCTGGCAACAGTGTAAACATTGGTTCTGTATAGCGCAGGGTTCTCTCAAGCACAGCACCCGGAACTGGTTTAGATGCTTCTGCAGCCTAAGTGCATTCTCATTGACGTGAAACACAATAACTCTTATAGATTCCACGTTTGCAGTGCTGTCAGTACTGTTTGTACTTCTGTGGTTCCATGCATTGTTGTTCAGTGTCACTGAATCTGGGTAGGGGTTTTGAATTAAATGCTGAAATTACTACATTTAACTGTTGGACATACCTTGCTGAAATGCATTTGTGTGCTGCTTTGTGTAATGCAGCTCTTGTGTATGCTGTGGGCTATAATCAAGTTATTGTGTGTGTTTTAGTCTTTCTGTATTGAGTGTCAGTTTTACTGTCTCTAATGAGGTTGAAGTTGGGTTTTGCCTGCATTTTATAATATATATTATATGAGGCTACATAATATATAGTATGTGACAATATGCTATACGTGTGTGTGTCTGTATGTGCATGTGTAGCATTTTCATATTGTGTGTGATCCAGAAAGTTACTGTGAATCAGCATTATACTGTTGTCAGGCTGTAATCTGATCTTTAGTCCTCACAACAGTTATAGTATTACAACCTCAGCCTTCCCACATGCAGCAGAATGATGTGAGCGTCCAACTGAATCTAAATGAGACTAAAACTAAATAAAGCTTTTATTAAAAAACAGGGAAAAGTCTTTGTAAATTCAGACCAATAATGTCCTTACCATCATGTAAGCAAAAGACAAAAGAAACTGACCAATTTATAATTTATCTTCAAAACACAAATCAATATATTTTTATCAAATCTGAGATCTTTCCCTACATTAAAAGTTTATACCCGAAAATAAAAGTTTATGTACTGCAAAGCTTCAATGCATCAAGTAAAAAAAAAAAGAAAAAGAAGAAAAAAAAACATACATATAAATTAAGTAATTTAACTTAGGTTTTTATAAAAGCTTCTTATGATTTAAGGTTTTATTTAGGATTCTATTCACATGTAAGAATTGATCAGTGAACCATGTTTACAGCATTCAAACAGTGCTCACAAAATCTCAAGCATGATTGCTTGATGCACGAGAACCTGGATAATTTTGAGCTTTTGTCTGCTAATTTCATCTTCCGGTTTAAAATAATTTTTGGGGCAGGATCACAATCGGTGACTTAGCAGGAATCTGCTATTGGAGTGATGACGCGTCGGTTTCTCTATATTATTCATAGCGGAGTTTTCTTATCCTATGAGAAGACCCTGCTTCTCAATTATTCATGTGAGCATGTGCTTTCTGAAGGTAAGGCAGACCTGCCAAGCTGTGAGACCCAATGACTGGGTGAGACCGCATCTGCGCACGGCAAGAGTCATATGTGTTTGTTTCCATGATCCACGTGGTTGTTTTGCATGCTTTCCCCTGCGATTCTGTCAAGGCAGATACAGCAAAGCTGTTGGTTTGCAACAAGCATGTCTGCCGAGAGAGCTGTACGAGAATTGGAGAATGCCAGACTTTGTGTTTTATCAGTTGAGTTTGTTACTATTCAGACACATCGCCTATATCCGTGCTGCTGTGTTTGCCCATGTTTAAAATCCTCCACATTACTGACAGGGCTAATGGTTGAAATAGACAGGGCAAGAGATCTGCTGCACTGCTATCCACTGTGTCTGCATTCAGACCCGGGGATTGAGGAGAAGAGAAGTTCTCCTCATTTTTAGTGTTTACATGATTATCTTTATAATGATATAACAAATTGTGGATATGTAAATATGAAATTACGAATAACAAATGTAGCAGGACTTACTTACTGTTTATTTCTTTAAATTTAATTTTGTAAACTATAAAATCATGCATCTGCTAACGGTTTGTGTCTCTTTGTGAGCCAACAAATAACAGTTGTTCGCTCCCCTCTTTCTCCCCTGCTCTGCCGGCTATGCTCTCTCCTCCCTCTGCTCGCTGCGCTTCATGTGCATCTCAGGGCATTTTTTGAAAGAATTCGAAAAAGGGGGGTTTCATGGGCCTTTAAACACAGATATGATTGAGCTTCTGTTAATGTTTGCTGATCACTAAACTAAAAACTTTAAGGTATTTCTATAAGGTATTTTAAGGTATTTTTTATTCCTTATGTATGTTTTAATGTAAAGACCTTTGATGGAAGGACATAAATTGTTAAAATTCCACAGAAAAAAATATCTTCTTTTGTGCGATATGAGAATGAAAATCTTATGGGCCCGTTCCAAGAAGAGGGTGAGAAAATATGAAAAGAATTTTCATTTTAAGGTGGATTAATCTTTGAGTAAAGAACAGCACCGACAGTGCTCAGAAAAGCTGTGTATTACTGTTTAAAAGTACACAAATATGAAATAGAAAGATACTTGACCCAACGGTCAGCTGTTTTCTTGTTCGTTGAGCACAGCCCCAATATAAAAGGAAAAAAAAAAAGATTTCCATCAAAGCCTTAAATGCTGGCATCAGATTCCATAGGCTTCAAGGGTAATTACTCTTCTAAGTGAAACTGTCTCCAAGTGCATAACCCTCATGTCTGAGCAGATGTTTCCTCTGTCACTGATTCTGTGCTCAGAATAACATCTTTCTAGATGCTCTTGGGCTAATATAGTTAGCATCCTAATGCCATTCAGCTAAACCGAATGCACTTCATTAAAACAGAATATAATGTGGTTAGGATGAGCGAACATTCATTCATAATGATTCATTTATGCTTCCCTTCAAAACACTGAATGACTGGTTCTGTTCCTCTTTTTAGCTGATCTCAAATATACATCACAGTCTTTAAATAGCTGCTCATCACACATAGAATCCCACGTGCATGTGTATGTGTGAGGTGACTGCATTGATGTAGGTTTGATTGCAGATTATAGTTCTGTGATGAATTTGCTGTGTCTGTATACGTTTAACTGTCATTTAACCTTTCTCAGGCTCTTGGTATGGCTGAGAAGACCTTAGAGCCGGGGTCTGTCTCCATTCCTATGGAGGAGACGAAGCGTGCTGGTGGAGATGCTGCCATGTTGACCCACCTGAAGAAGGTGGAGAACCACATCACTGAGGCTCAGAGGTTTTCACATCTGCCCCGCCGTTCAACAGTGGATCTGGAGTTTACAGAGCTCTCCTACACCATCCGTGAAGGCCCCTGTTGGAGGAGGCGAGGTACTGCATAAATTCTCATGATCAAATCTGTGGTGATTACTGGGTACACGCTACATAATTCTAGATTTGGTTTAGTGATTTCATTCATAATCCATGGTTTGATGCAATGCACTGAAGTATGAATACTTTGTTTTGGCATGCTTTCTCTTAGCATGTCTCATAATGATCACATGTTCAATTTCAAATGAGGTTTATTGGCATGGCTTGCCAAAAAAATACAACACAGAAAAAGAATATATCTGTTAAATGCTTAATATCATATTAATATTGATCACAGTACTTTAAGTGGATAGAGAAGATGTAGATTGTGTTTTGAGGCTGAACTTCTTTCATTTACATCAGGATTCTAACTCGTCCTCAAAACCCTGGAAATTAACTGACTAGTTTTCAAGTCACGGAAGAGACATGAATTGTCCTTGAAAATGATTATTATTAAAAAATGTTGTTGAAAAAACATTTGCAATTGTTCGAACGCAAATAAAATGTGACAGAAAGCTCTCTGTTCAGGGATGCTGAGTTTTTACACATGAGGAAAGTATTTTAGGCTGTTTATTGTCACTGTGACACATTGTCATTGTGTTTTTGTCAATTGTGGGGGCTAGAAATTATTTAAGTACTTCAATATTGGCAGCAAATTTACTAGGCATGGTGAATCAGTAGTTTTGAATGAATCAATTGAGAAAGTAGCTCAATGACCAAATAGTTTTGAATGCATCGTTTGAAGAAATGATTCCAAATGGCTCTCTGGACTTCTGGAGCAAATATTATATTATTTAAGGCAGGGGTGTCCAAACTTTTTGGGCCGAGGGCCAGATGCAAAAAAACAAACGTTGTCGCGGGCCAAATTTTACATACATCACACAGACACGCATATATATATATATATATATATATATATATATATATATATATATATATATATATATATATATATATATATATATAAATACAGTTGAAGTCAGAATTGTTAGCCCCCCTAAATTATTAGCCCCCGTTTATTTTTTCCCCAATTTCTGTTTAACGGAGAGAAGATTTTTTTTCCACACATTTCTAAACATATTAGTTTTAGTAACTCATTTCTAATAACTGATTTATTTTATCTTTGCCATGATGACAGTAAATAATATTTGACTGGATATTTTTAAGACACTTCTATACAGCTTAAAGTGACATTTAAAGGCTTAACTAGGTTAAGCAAGTTAACTTGTTAAGTCAAGGTAATTAGGCAAGTTATTTTATAACAATGGTTTGTTCTAAAGACTTAAGGGGCTAATAATTTTGACCTTAAAATGGTTCATAAAAAAAAATTTAAACCGCTTTTTATTCTAGCCGAAATAAAACAAAAGTCTTTCTCCAAAAGAAAAAATATTATCAGACATACTGTAAAAATGTCCTTGCTCTGTTAAACATCATTTGGGAAATATTTAAAAAAGAAGAAATAAATCAAAGAGGGGCTAATAATTCAACTGTGTGTAGATAGATAGATAGATAGATAGATAGATAGATAGATAGATAGATAGATAGATAGATAGATAGATAGATAGATAGATAGATAGATAGATAGATAGATAGATAGATAGATAGATAGATATATAGACAGATAGACAGACAGACAGACAGACAGACAGACAGACAGACAGACAGACAGACAGACAGACAGACAGACAGACATACCGACAGACAGGCAGACAGATAGATAGATCATAACAAGAACTGCTGCTTAATTGAATGCATGTAATAGCGACACCCGGTGGTTATTTTTTGAATTACGTTCATTTTTGTATAGCGGGCCAGATTCTATTGATATTTATAAAAAGCCTCGCGGGCCGCCAAAAAACTGATTGCGGGCCGCAGATGGCCCGCGGGCCGTAGTTTGGACATGCCTGATTTAAGGCCATGAATCGGTGATTCATGCTTTTTACTCCAATTCTAATGACATTTGAAATGTTCTGTAAAGGTTCAAGAAAATATAAACGAAAAGTAGATGGATGACTGCATTTAAGGTTAACAATTTTATTAATCCCACCAGGGGCGATTAAATTAGGCCAGTAGCATCATGACACAACAAACATCTCACTTACATCACACACAGACACAAATCACTTACAACCAATATGAAAAACGCAATCCATCACACTTCATAATAAATTTATAAATATAATATTAATAATAATAAGAATAATGTTGGTGTTTACACTATAAACAGTTTAATCAGATGCGTTTTTAAAACATCTATTTACAGCTTTGTTTAGCATTAGCCACTGAAGTGGATTAGGGAAAAAGGATCTTAAAACCACCTGTAAATAGAGACATGATTTGCGAGATATTTGTAGGATGCAAATATCTAGACCCAGAGTTTTGAGATGTGAAATGTAGTTTGGATGGAAATCTTAGATTGCAAGCTTTTAATAAGTCAGATTAGAACATTTAGATTTTATTGGAGTTCTCTTTCAGTTTCTTTCCAGTTATGTGTGGCCTTTATCATTTATCACTTCTCGCTTGTGCATTTCTTCCTTGTGAAATGTTGTGCAATGTGTGATCTCCAGTCACTTTTCACTCTAGTCATAATACCCAACATATTTGGGTTATGTTATGTGAAATGAACAGTGATTCTTTAACTGTATAGCAGAACTTTATTAGGGATTTTAAAGCATAACTGACAATTAGCTAATTTAGATTTTTTCCATGTTTCTTTTTTTTTTTTTAGCAGGTTGCACAGTTTACCGTTAAGATTTATATTGTGTTAGAAATCAAGTCACTGACTTTTATTTTCCTTTTACTGCCCATGAGTACAAAAGTGATCTGCCGGTTTACTTTATTTATTACTCCCAACCCACGACAAACAATCTAGATATGATAATCTACAAACAAATACATGGATATAATAATTCCATTATAAAATGAACTGCTGTTATGCAATAAATCACACAACACTTTAAACACAACATATCACATTTATTGTGTCAGAAGTCATTATAAATGTTTGACTGGCTGATCAGCTGTAAGACTGCCAATGACCATGTTTTTTCTTTTAGTTTTTTGTGCTCTTTTTATGCACTTTAAATGGTGTCTCAATTATCAACTGCAGAGAAAATGTACTTTATTGCAATATTTTTGCACATTTCATCTCTTTGTTAAACTCATTGTTGTGTGTATTAAAATAGATTAAGTAGAATAAAGTATTCATATAATTTACAGCTTAGGTTATGCTCTGTAGAATTCACAAAACAGTTTGCTTTTCTGTCTAATGTGGAGAAAACATGCAAAATACATCTATTGTTTTTTTTTTACTGAAATGTACATTTTTGTAAATAAAAAAAATGACATAGATTCAACAAGGTACTGGAAATATTCCTCAGAGATTTTGGTCCATATTGACATGATAGCTTCACGCAGTTGCTGCAGATTTGTCGGCTGCACATCCATGATACCAATCTCCCATTCCACCACATCCCAAAGGTGCTCTTTTGGATTGAGTTCAGTATCCTGCTGGAAGTAGCCATCAGAAGATACTGTGCATCATCAAGGCATTTGGCTTCACAGAACTGCCGCTCACTGGATGTTTTCTATTATATAGAAAATTTTAGATGGTCAGTTCTCTGTAAACTCTTGAGATGATTGTGCCAGTAAATCCGTAGTTTCTGAAATACTTAGACCAGCCCGTCTGGCACCAACAACCATGCCAAAGTCACTTAAATCACCTTTCTTCCCCATTCTAATGCTCGCCTTGACCATGCCTAAATGCATTGAGTTGCTGCCAAGTGATTGGCTGATTAGAAATTTCTATTAACGAGCAGTTAGACAGGTATACCTAATAAAGTGGCCGCTGTTATAGTTGTTATAGTATATTATGTTATATATACATTATATATAGATAGCTGCAAGGATTGTTTTGCAATAATATTATACAGACACATATAACATCTTAACGCATGATCCACAAGCACACATGTTCACACAGTCACACGTATATGCAAGTGTAATACTATTAGCCCCTTACACATGCACACACCCCTTGTCCAGGGCTGGAGTTTGCTGTTCTCAGCAGACTTTAGATATAGTAAATAATTCACTTCTCCAGACGGCACACTGCTCTGCTGTCTGATGCCCAGCCCAGCTGAACTCACCCAGGATGAGCTCAGCTCACACACATGTACACTCACACCGTATCGATGAGAATAAGGGCACTCTCAATTTACACCGCATGGGGTTTTTCCCCTTCTTCCTGGTTGCCGTGATCCATTGTACATGGTGTTTTTCGCTCTGCAGCATTGACTGGTTTTAGGCATATGAGACTGCATAGGTTTTGTTGAGAGATTAGATCAGATAAAACAGATACCAGATTAGATGGATTTCTGCAGTATTGTAGTCAGACAGTGATGTTATGCAAATGTATAGTTGACACACATAGTGAGGCTATATAGAGACATATGGATATAAGAGTCATTTGTGATTTAAGAATGAGTGTTTTGTGCTTAAGATTATTAGTTTAGCTTTGGGTGGATGTGCATATCTGGGTTGTAAAAGGGGGTATTTTATCTTTAAAGAAGCAGTATACTTTTTTTGGAAATAGGCTAATATGAAAAATCTACTAGTGTTAAAAAGTTGAGTTTTAACATTTTTTAATTCATTCAGAAAATTTCTGGCCATTAGCATTTCAGGCAATAATAGCCAAAGAATTTTTGATAAATTTCTTCATTTAAGCTTGACACTTCTGTAGTTGAATTGTGTAGTACGATCAACAGAAAATGAAAAGCGATATGACAAGGAACTGTATACTCTCATTCTGCCATAATAATCAAGGAACATTGCTGCCGTTTCATGGATATTTCGCAGCACCTGTTTTTTTCCCCCCATCAATATAACCAATGTGACCATCTGCTAGCACAGAGAATGTGTGCTGTCACATTGAAAGTTACCTATAGATGGGGATTGTTTTCAGGCACTGGATAATATCATTGCACCTTCTGCACAGGCATTTGTTTATTACGAGTGTAAAA